CAATTTCTATTGGAAAATATTTTACCTTTATTTAGAATCCTCAAGCGCCTCTAGAGAGTGAAAAAACTCGAACGTTGTCCGTTTCGCCGATCCTGTTAACAGAGTATGTAGAGATCCAAGCGTGTCACTTAAAAAAATTTCTCTTCGGACTTTACTGGATAAAAATTCAAAATACTGTAGGGAAACTGTAAAATGACGAACGGTTAATGTATTTACCGTAAAACAATTGACTATATGTACAGGATAGCTCTTGAGAAAGACGATTTTAGAACCGGGTTTTCAGTAATCTTGGAATTTCGAGTCACAGGAAATTGGTTCGCGGCGCGCGTTGCATCAAGGGTGAAAATGGGCCTTTAAGTAGTCATAACGACAAGTAAAAAAAACAAACAATAATATTCCACAGGTATTTTTAGATAAAGCAATTACATAACAGCCACATGTGAGTATTTCTAAATTTCCAAGTTAGTTTTTATGTAGTGACTCACATCAGTTTTTCTTTCCTCAAAAAGAGACCCTTTAGAGAACTGATACAGTAAACCACCAAAACAAAAAATCTTATCATATTAGTGTGTGATATTTGTACGTGACTTAACAAAAGTGACAGTGTTTATACGAAACATTCAAAATAAATTATTTACTTACGTGGAAAATGTTAAATAACATCTAAGCTTAGATGAGATTCCTTGTATTTAGAAAATGTTCAAACAAAGCCCTTTGGTAGTCTTCTAAAGATGCACACATAGTTTCTCTCACCACAGTGTCGTTGACGCATTAGACAACAGATCAGAAATTTCAGGGACTTAGAGAGACTGTTTGAAAACAAAGCAATTAGGTGAGAAGGAAATTTTTCTCCAATTGAATATTTCATCATGAGCTAAGCGAACTCCGGCTCAAAAAAACTTGATCTAAGCTTATCCGACTAGAAAACTACGCAATAAAATTTAAACGACCTCATTAAGTCTCGAACTTTCAATCTATAAGATACAATAAGAGGCGTTACATGCGGAAACAAAAAAAGGTTGGAATGTGTCTAAAAAAATATATCCTTCCACAACTGAAGACATTTTAACTGTTGATTACGAAGAAAATATTCTTATTTCTAAGAAATCAAAAATTATTATCTCATTAATTTCACTGAACTTGCAATAATTGTATATATTTGCTCTAAGAAGTCTAAGAACGCTTCATGATTTTCAGATTTCTTTCAGGTTCAAGTCGAAAGGAAAGATGTTGGGTTTTTTAACTCTCTCCCTCCTTACAGTGGCGTTTGCCAATCCAGGTATAGTTTCCAGTAAAAAAAAGGCTTGATATTACCCCTCGTTTTTTTGGTTAAGTAAACTGAAATATCCTGATCTCGGCCATTCTTCGAACTCACCAAAATCACACTCCAGATCTCTTTAGAAAGAAGTTATGGACACGAAGGAGAGGCTTAGAAATTTTCAGGATTCCAAAAAAATCATAGCCGAGATATAATACCAAGATAATATCACAGAACAGGTAATAAGAAACGTGGACGGGTTCGACTTAAGAGAAGGAACTTTTAACAGACACATTTGCAGTAAATTTTGACATGTTTAGTCTTTATCTCAGTTTCCCGGCTAGGAATTCAAAATTTCACTTACAAAGCACAAGAATCATCGTTGTATATTGTGGCCGTAATTTATCAATCAGAAAATGTAGTTTTTCTCCTAATTTAAACAAAGATGAAAAAAGATCAATCTCTCGGACACATTAACCGAGCCCCTACGTGATGCTCTCTCTTTTTGTCACAGCGGAAAAGACAGTTTGCGAACATGAGCACATGACAATTGACTGCAGAGGGTTAGACATCAATATATTGAGCGCATCCTATGGCCGCACCCAACAAGGTGTCTGTGATCGAGGGGGAAGCACAAACTGTCATGCTGATAGCTCCATGAGCGTCGCTAGAAACAAATGTCAAGGACAGACAAGGTGTACTTTGGACGCGAAGAACGAAGCGTTTGGAGACCCCTGTGTTGGAACCTTCAAACATTTAACGGTGAGTTCACCTTGAAGAAGGACAACTTAAGACTTAGATTATAAATATTCGCTCCAGTTCTTATGTTGCAAGTAATAGCCAATATAATTTTCACAAGTGAAATTCAAACGATATGAATCACTTCAATAATTGCTTCCAGCAATTAATGTTATTTCCTTTTTGCGACTGTGAAATTGTTTAGTTCATGGTACTTTGATACAAGTGACCTAATTAGCCTGATCACTGATTGGTTACCAGCCAGCCAATCGCGACTCAACCACGGGCAGTTTCCGAATAATCGTTTAAGGACATTGATCTTTATCCAGATCTTTTACTTAAATAAAACTCGTTCTATTCTGGTAAAATTTGTAAAAATAACATGTTCCTATTTCAACACATAGGTGAAGTACGAATGTGTGGAAAAAACTGTTCTCGTTCGCATCTGCGAAGGAAGGTCACAGCTGATTTCGTGCCCCGCTCCGAAGAAAATCGATATCACGTCGGCGAACTACGGTCGTTTAACTGGTCCGCATCTCTGTCCGGGACCAGTTAAAACCACAAACTGTGGAGCCGCAGGGTCGATTGATATAGTGAGGAGCAAGTGCCAGGGAAAGCAAAGCTGCTTTTTGCAGGCAACAAACGGCCAGTTTGGCGATCCTTGCGTTGGGACAAAGAAGTATTTGGAGGTGATTATAGTTCAGATCTTTTAACCAAAATCAAACTCGTTCTGTTTCGGTAAAATTTGTAAAAATAACATTTTCCTATTTCAATACATAGGTGAAGTACGAATGTGTGGAAAAAACTGTTCTCGCGCACATCTGCGAAGGAAGGTCACAGCTGCTTTCGTGCCCTGCTCCGAAGAAAATCGATATCACGTCGGCGAACTACGGTCGTTTAACTGGTCCGCATCTCTGTCCGGGACCAGTTAAAACCACAAACTGTGGAGCCGCAGGGTCGATTGATATAGTGAGGAGCAAGTGCCAGGGAAAGCAAAGCTGCTTTTTGCAGGCAACAAACGGCCAGTTTGGCGATCCTTGCGTTGGGACAAAGAAGTATTTGGAGGTGATTATGGGTCAGATCTTTTACAAAAATCAAACTCGTTCTGTTTCGGTGAAATTTGTAAATTTAACATATTTCTATTTCAATACACAGGTGAAGTACGAATGTGTGGAAAAAACTGTTCTCATGCACATCTGCGAAGGAAGGTCACAGCAGATTTCGTGCCCTGCTCCGAAGAAAATCGATATCACGTCGGCGAACTACGGTCGTTTAACTGGTCCGCATCTCTGTCCGGGACCAGTTAAAACCACAAACTGTGGAGCCGCAGGGTCGATTGATATAGTGAGGAACAAGTGCCAGGGAAAGCAAAGCTGCTTTTTGCAGGCAACAAACAGCCAGTTTGGCGATCCTTGCGTTGGGACAAAGAAGTATTTGGAGGTGATTATGGGTCAGATCTTTTACCAAAACAAACTTGTTCTGTTTCGGTAAAATTTGTAAAAATAACATGTTCCTATTTCAATACATAGGTGAAGTACGAATGTGTGGAAAAAACTGTACTCGTGCACATCTGCGAAGGAAGGTCACAGCATATTTCGTGCCCCGCTCCGAAGAAAATTGATATCAGGTCGGCGAACTACGGTCGTTTAACTGGTCTGCCTCTCTGTCCGGGACCAGTTAAAACCACAAACTGTGGAGCCGCGGGTTCGATTGATATAGTGAAGAGCAAGTGCCAGGGAAAGCAAAGCTGCTTTTTGCAGGCAACAAATGGCCAGTTTGGTGATCCTTGCGTTGGGACAAGGAAGTATTTGGAGGTGATTATGGTTCACTGTGTTATTTTAGATATTATCAGTCCCCACCAAACAAAACTTTGATCTAAAAATTACCAGGGGCGTATCTTTTCATGGAAAGTGAATGATTGATCAAAAACACACTAGCATGCCCTTAAATGCTAGACTGGACAGTTTTGAACGACGACAGCATCACATTCCCCCCCCCCCTCTCCATTTTACACCATGAAAATTGCCAGAGATCACCATTTGAATTAAAGAAACTACAATGTTGGGTGAATTGTATTGAACACTGATACAAACATCCTATTTAGACTTCCAACCTACTTAACTGGCGTGGGTTCTTCTATTCTCCTTTCAATGATGGATTTTACAAAAATACGAACTCTTGGTACCTGAAGCTGTTTTGTCAAATTTACGCTTTGCAGGGGGTGGGACGAAATTCACGACTGGCAAAATTCCCAACCGTGGTAACCAAGGTTGTAACTCACTCATTGTGAGGAAAATTTCATTATGATCAATTGGTCTTCAAAAAACTTACACAAGGCGAGACTTACAATTGCACAACAACCTTGAACCTAAGCAAAAAGCTAAACAGACTAAAGCATGAACAAACCTGGAGGACATATAAAAGAAACTAACTTGCAATTAATCGTATCGTTTCACAGATCAAATACAGATGTGACTGGTAAAGGATTCCACTGAGTATTCCAAGCGTCAACCAGTGAAAACAAGTGATCCCATGTAGTTTTTGTAGTTTACGTATCAGGGACCATTAAAAATAATTTTCGACGCCAATGAATGTCTCCGTGTATTCGTTTCTTTGTGGAAGTATTGATAGCGTTCCAGCGGGTCATTTTTGGTGTTTTACATGCTCGCCGATTTGGGACGAGTTGGGGAGAGGTTTACTGGGGATCTGGCACTAACAATTTCCTCATTACTAGTGCCACCTCTCTCGCTCGCTTGTACTGTTCAAGGCCTCACATTCGCTGGCGTGCACCGATGTGCCACTAAACCTTTAACCCCTAAGAGTGTCTCGCATTTAATTTCTCCTTACCATATCACTCCTGAATCAAAAAATTGAGGTCAGGAGAATAAAGGAGCTGATCACCCACCAAAAAAGCTCTTGATTGTTAGACAAATTCTCCATGTCGGCATCTCAGGAAATGCTTAGAGAACAGTGTGTAGAATATGCATAGTAAAGGATTAATTAGGGCCTGTTCGCAAGTTAAAGTGTTAAATTTTGTTAAGATTATTCCAGCAGGAATCCTGGCAAAATCCCATCAGGCTCCAGGGAGGAATCCTGCGCAATGCGTGATACAGTTGTTTAAGTGTAGGTCAGTAATGGCTCCCGTGTAAAGCCTAAAAGTCAGAGAGGGCGAAACTTTCGAGGCGGGGTTCAGATTTAAGTTGAGGGTATATTTACACTCTTTTAAAACTTTCGGGTTTTTTTTAACCATTGGTGGATGTTAAATGGAAATTTCAAAACTTTGTTAGAAAAGTGTTTTTGACTGAATAATACCCACTAGTAAACAACAAACTATCGCTTTCTTTATTTTTGCTCCCACTTCCCGCCCTCTCTCGCCCCCTGTTCTCCCGAGCTCCCGCCCCCCTGTCCCCCTCCACTATCTCAGTGTTACTAGGTACCTTTTCAGGAACGCTAAGTTTCCTATCAGTATCCTGATAAGATCCTTATGAGAATCCCACGTTGATGCCGGGGAGATTCCAGTAGGATCCCAGAGGGCTGCAAAGATATTGTATGGGTGTACCTTTTCAGAAACGTTAAGTTTTCTGTCAGTATTCTGGAAGAGGTTGCGTGACGCGTGATGGCCCCAAAATTTGCGAGATAACTAATGAGCCATATATGAGATCAAACTACGAAAAAATTGTCAAAACTACGACTACTGACTTATTAAACAATAAACTATGATGACTATGATGCCGGGACGAACACCTCAGGTGTTAAATCTGTGTGCGATACTAGTAAAGTACGATTTGATATTGCGATACGAAGCCTAAGTAAACGCTCTCAGGGCGTCTAGTTTCAACAAGTAAGTCGTCTTTATTTTTCTGGCATAAAGCAATATGACAAGTGATACGCAATTCATTCCAGGATAAGAAAGGTTAGATGCAATATAATTTTTAATCATACATCCGATAGGTTGAAATCTTACAGTATTAGCTTGGCGGACTTACTCCTTTTTATGTGACGTGTGATTGGTTAAAAAAAATTTCCGTGATGCGTGATTTAGTAGAAAAATTCAGCGTGATGTGTGACTGGAACCCCCTCTTTGTCACCCTCCAGGCAAGATCCTTATGAGGATCCCACAGTGATGCCGTGAGGATTCCGGCAGGATCCCAGCGGGTTGCAAAGAGCTTTCGAACGAGGTACCTTTTCAGAGACCCTAAGTCTATGTCACTTTGGACAGTTTCATTTAACACAGACGGACTACCATCTACCACTTTAGTAGTATCCGGTGGGCGTTTATTCGCAGTTTACTCACGTAACTACAAAATTAATGCACATATATGGAAAAACACACGCAACCCCGACTGACACTTGTAGGAAATTTTTTCCTTTTCAAAGTCATAATTAATTTCATAGGGAGGTAGTTTCTCGCTTCAAGATTATAATCATGACGCGCCCTGCTAAAAAAAATCGCATTAGTGAAAAGAAACACAATTTTGGAGTTGTCTTTCTTGGGCGGGAATTACTTAATTTTCTTACTAGGACAACTGTCGAATATTTTGCCAATATTTTCGGAGGCTTTTAGGCGGTAGCTCTCCCCTTTGAGTTCCGAAAAAAGTAGTAAAATGATGATGATGTTAAACACCATTTAATTTCTCGTCAGACCGCACAACATCCCTACAGGAAAACAAGTCTTGAAGACATCTTTCAATACTGTGAGATATAGGGCAAGGACGACACCGCACCGGAAAATCGGTGTTCATGAACTCTCAGAAAGCTTTCGTTGGGTTCGGCTTTAGCTGAGCGGGTCTGTACTTTAAAACAAAAATGCGTTCAGGTGTGAGATTTAAAGTTAAGATTTCAAATTACGCGACTTTGAGATAAAGGTTTAATTTGATTAAATCTATCTCTGCAAAGTGAAGATAAGCGCATGTCGGTCCGATATCTAAAATTTGGTTTTATAATTATGTCACGTTTCATCCGTCTTACATCACAGTTCACTTCAATCGCTTGACAGGGTCAGGCTAAACATCTCTTTTGTCGTATCAGGTATACTTCTCATTTGCGGCAAGATATCATAGCCGTTCTGCGGAGGGCACCTTATTATGTAGTAGGTAATAAGGTGTCATAATTCTCACTATATCATGAAGACAAATGCTTATCAAGCACACATCCTGTTATCGCTCCTACTTCGGGGAGTTCACGCGATTTACGCGGGTTTCGCGGCGCCATTTTTCTTGTATTTTAAATTTCGAGTTATCAAGAGGTTCCGGAATTTGTTTACATTCTATTCGCCGTGTTTATTCTGATATTCTCTTTAAGGCTTCGCTTGGGAAAAATTACGCCACTCTTAGTACAGAGCAGAGGCGACATTATTCCTTGTGTAAAAGTCGCACAAAAGTCGGAATGCGCAAAACATTGAGGAAGGGGGAGGCACTCATTTGATTTGTGGGGTATATCCTCCCTAGTCAAACTGTGAATTTCCGTTAAGTTATTTGAAGCAGTTGAGGGAACTTTCAGAAAATTTCAATGATTCTTGAGAAAATCAAGACATACCGAAACAACTAGCCAGTGAAATAAAAATATTCACGACTTGCGTCTTAAAACCTAAAAATCTGTCTACCCCTCTAAGATATTTTAAATAACTTCCCTACCACCTACGGGCATGTTATAGGCATTACTCAAGTTTGTTTTTGTGATCAGTCAAAATCAATCATCAGCACTGTGTGCGTAACTACTCATTATCGTAAAGCGTCGCGACCGCCTGTTCGCCACACAACGTTACTTGAAGCCTCGAATCTTCAGCATAAGACGTGAAAGAAGGAGAGAGAGAGAGAGAGATCGTTCCGATGTTGCCCAAAAAGTTTTCTATAGTGGTAGATTTAGGATGTTTTCTGATTGTAAGTATAGTAAATGCCTTTTTGGCACTCATAACCCCTCCATTCAGACGTGGGTTTTTTTGCAATGATGACAGCATTAAATACCCGTTCGTCAATGAGGAACTTCTTCCCACTTGGACGTTGCTGTTAGTTTCAGTTATTCTACCGGTTTTTACGGTAAGTGTTTCTGTTTCAATGTCATTTTATTAAAACAGTGTTGAAATATGTTGTTAGTGATGCTAAGAACACCTTTAAACAATAAACAACGCACTCGATTATTCCATTGATATTAATGTCCGCTTATTGTCGAATTAACTCGTGAATTAGCGCATTCCGTGACGAATATTGTTTAAGTTATAAGCATCGAGGCCATTAGGAGTCACAAAAGCTTCTTTTCACGTTGTAAGCTAAGATTTAAAAGCAATATTAGAGACGAAAAACAATAAAGGATTAAATAAGATGCCGTATTAAAGAGCCCGGCGCTTCCTGTGGTAACTCAAAGGGTCTAAAAACATCTCACGTTTACCATTTTTGGGTTTCCAACTGTTTGAACTATTTCAATCCACAAGTTAAGTAGTGGTTAAAATAAGACTATCGTTTTCACGATTTGAAGTTAGAGAGTTATTGAATCGCAAAATAAGAATGAAAATTTAGCTAACAAACCGATTATTGACTGAAGGGAACAACAACACTAGCGCATGAGGAAGTTTCTTTTGAATTTGTTGCCTTGAATTCAAAGATTTCTAAAGGATTGTTTCTCTCGTTGATAAGCTTCTACCATGACAGTAAATTGATTTCTTGAAGAAATTTCTCACGGATTATCGAGAAATGAACCCGAAACATACTAGTGAGCAATGGCTGACGTCAGACACGCTGTGAGGGAAAGGGGAGGGGGTCTGAGGGGAGTGGCATTGGGAGAAGTGAAATTTGATTCCCTATTCTTCTCTCCTGTGGGAAAAATCTCTGGGAAAAGTACAGATATCATTTGATCTGGGTTGGACGAGTTCAGATGAGTACTTCCCTTGTGTCAGCTGATATACATTTTGTTGTAAATTTGGGAATTTGATGTTTCATGACTTTTCTATGCTGAGAAGTTACATGTCAGTTACTTCTGGCATCTTAACATTAACAGCTTATTTAGGATTTTGTTTTAGTTTTTCTGTCTTGTATGCAATGTAGACCTTTTCCCACAGTAAATACTTGACACACCTTTTTCCTATTTTTTTGGTTTACATTTTCTGATAAGAATTATTTAGCTTTACTAAAATATGACCTTGGCTTCAGGATATTGAAAAAAAAATTGAAACACTAAGAAACACTCCTCTTCAGCCAAACTGGTCCAATATTTGATCATTTTGAAGGATTAATACTTCACTGTCATGGATCATGTAAATTATATCTTCTAGATGTATTCAATCTTAATTTATCACTGCTGTAGTTATTTTAATGTTGCCACAGTCAATAAATCCATCAAAAATCAAAATAGCTAGGGAAAATTGCCAGCTCTCATCACAGTTTATTGCAGTTGAATAATATCAGATCATTAACAGTCATAGCTAAAATTGTATTTTTTTTAACTGAATTAGATCATCATTTGCGAAGTTGGAAGGCAATACCAAAATGGTCAAAATACCAAAAGAGAACAATATCAGAACAGTGAAAACAGCACTGTCTGCGGGTCATGCATGAAAAAGCCGTTATTCCAGAGGTAACACAAATACAATGATTTT